CGAGGAAGGGCCGGGTGGGGGGAAGGAGCGGGCGGGCTTCCAGTGCCCGGGGCTTTGTATCAGGGGTGACCGAGGTAAGTCCGTGCTCGGCCCGGCCCACACCTTCCTCCCTTCCACCCCTCAGGCCAGGCCGGTGCAGTCACTGACTCCTGGGATTTCTGGCTCCTCCGCAGGAGAAGGGATCTTTTATTGAGAGTGTCTTTTTGACTTGTTTTTCGGTTTCCTTTTAAATAAAGTAGCTATTCTGTGGGCAAGAGAAGAGGCGCTGGGTTTATGAGGAGGGGACAGAAGACAGACCCCTTGACCCGCTTCGTTGAAACGGCATCAGCCCAAACCAGAAAGGCAGGAAGATAAATACGGTGCTGGAGGAGTGCTGAGTGGAGGGGTGAAATAGTCTTTAATTTAATGACCCAGCTCCCCACTGGCCCAAGCAGCAAGCCTGTGGGTTGCTGCCACAAAGGATTTCCCCTCTTTACCCCCATTTTGGTTGACAGATAGATCAGGATCAGTTTGAGGGAGGAAGGAAAACAAAAGAGCCATTTGTATTTTGCAGTGTTTTTTGGTATGTAGTTGGGGTTTGTGCCTTCGGGAACCCCTGACTGAATTAGTCTCTCATGTCTCATTAATCTCTTTGCTGTGCTATGACCAGTGCCTCGCCGGTGCCAGCTTGTTACCTGCTCTCTGCTTCCCACTGGTTCTCTCATTTGTGCTACCCATGTAACTGCTGTTGTATTTGCACTGAACATGTCCAGTTTCTGACTTAAAAATAAAAACAGATGTCAGAAATGTTTTCTTTCTAGTCAGGTGTTCCTCTTGTCACTTACTCTGGTAATGCCTGCACAGTAAGGGAAGGATTCCAGAACAAGAGCCAGACAGACCAGAGTGAGAAAAGTTACAAGACATCTGTTCCTTACAAAGGGTGTCTCTGTTTCTGTGCTTTTTTATAAAGCTGCTGGCTTATTACTGAGGTGACTGATATGGCTGACATGACTGACAGCGTGATGTTCTGGTGCTAAAGGAAGATAGATATGTCTCCTTAGCATGTACAGTAAAATAACTGTGATGAATAAATATAATATTTTATTCCCATCAGTATCTGCCTAGGTAAATAAGTTCTTTTAATACGGAGGGGACTGCCACTGCCATCACCGTGCAGCCTGCATTAAGTTGTGACTGCTTGTACTGAGATAAAAACAATTGTAAAATACACAGTGAAAATCTTATGGTGATACCAAAGAGAGATGGTGTGTGTCATGGCAATATTGCTCTGGTGTTTTTACTGTTGTGTTTTGGTGTGTTCTACAGGCTGGTTTGCAAAACCTACAGAAAACAAGACATCTGTGAGTTCTCATGACGAGATGAAGGCAGCATTTATGGCTGAAATGAAAGCTGAAAACATCAAGCAGTTTCTTTAGTAAGCAATGTGTAGACTAATCAGTCAAAAAAAAAAAAAATCCAAGTAGAAACCAGTGCAAGGATGCCACCAGAGGATGGTGTGCAGGTTCTCGGCCATAGCTTTTTATCTAATGTGTCCCAGTGAGCTGTGATTGACAAAACAGTCCATCTCAGCTCCTCTCAGTATTGTTTGCATTGGAAACATTTGAGTTGTCATCAGTAATCTTAGTACTTAAACTAATTAAAAATTGGCCAAGCTCTTGCTCAGCCTTTGGTGAATGGTTGTACAATGATGTAGAGGTTCAGCCTTTCTTTTATGTGTCCTGTTTCATCTACAGCATTTATCTTACACTCTTTTTATGGAAAAATCATTCACTTCAAATTAGGCTGTATGAATAACTTAAATCCAGAGAGATTAAATGGAAAGTAGCGGAGTACATCAATGTTAAAGAAAAGAAAATCATACCAGTGTTCAGACCTTTAGTTTTTCCTATAGCTTAGGCCTTTATACCTTATTGCTACTCTCCTTTCACACTTTGTCGTGCTGTGACCAAAGTTATGTGTTAATCTGTCACCATTCCAACCTTGTACTCGCTTTCATGAAGAAGGATATGTTTCCGAGCTCTCTCCCTCTGCACAGTGAATAGCTAGAACAGACAGTAGATACCAGCTAGTCAGCTGATGGTACATTACAATGCTTATAATAAATCTAATAGTCTTAAAGCTTTAGAGACTTTTTAAGACCATATTTTTTTTCCAATATTTTTTCCTCTCAGCTACCTTTTAGTACTTCAATTAGTTGATTTTAAATGTACTCTTATTTCTTTTATTAAATCGTAAAAGCAAAGCTGCTAACATTTGTTCCTGAAAAGTCAAACAATGGAAGATGACAATATAGATTTTTTTTTTAATCTAGTACAGTTTAATTACTGTAATTCATTTCTTAACTTCTGTAATTTAGAAACTTTAAATGAAAGGAAGCCAATGCACTATTATTTGTTTATTTTAGGGATCTTGTAAACAGATTATTTTTTTCTAAAGAGAGTGTAGTATTTGTTAAAAGCTGTATTTATTCCAGTCAATAATAGACCAGAAGTCATAGTCTATTGATAGAAAATTACTTTCTGTCTAAAGAAGGTGTTAGAGTATCAGTTATTTTAGGAGTAATCAACAAATTCAGGTTTGCCTTAAATTCCCAGCCTGATTAAATAGCATGAAGTTGTATCTTGCTAGAAAACAAAATTACTGAAGAAACATTTTCAGTTTATAAGATTGTGGCAATCTCACTCATTTCATTTAAATGCACTTGCCACAGACTGTTGCAAATGAATTAGCTGGAAAGTACATTCCCTTTACTACATAACAGCCATGTCCTGGACTATATAAACATTGAAAACTGAAGACTTAGGATTTTTTACAATCTTAACCTGTGTTTTGGCTCCTACAAAGTCAACTGTTGTTAAACAGCTCTGTAAAAGGACTGCTTCCTGCCATCTAAACTCCCTGTCTCTATGCCAACAGGAAACATTGTACCTCATTTACTGTCATGCAGCCAGTTCTGTGGTGAAATATGGCAGCTATTTAGTCACAACTCAGAACTACCAGTGCAGGCAGTCAAGAGATTAGAAGAGGAAATGAAGAAAAACACAGTATCCAGTTAAATGGAATATAAACCAGGAGAAGGTTATTGCACAAGTGAAATTTTAATGAAAACATGAGACTTAAACATTCCTACCTCTTACAGAAAACAGCCTTTGGCTCTAACAGTAACACATAACTGTGCTTTTGGTTCAGTATGTCATCCAGAAAATGGTACTGTCATTGAAACAGGGACTTTTAGTACAATGTTGGTACTATATGTTGACATCATCAGAGAAACATGGTTTTATCTATCAGCATTTGATACAAAAGCAGAAGTGTACAGTTCTTTCAAAGTGCTTTGTCTGATGGCTTTGTTCTCACTGGAATTCAAGAACTAAAATTTTTCCCAATCTTATACCCTTTCCTTATTGAAGGTCCAATTTCCTTCCTTAACACCAACCAGCTGGGGTGACCCATGCTTCTGTGACATGTTGATGGCATGGTCATATGACAGGATGAGGACATCATGATGACAACCTCATTCAGCTGGGAGTTTCTTCAGCTCACTTCACCACTGGGCTTTCTCAATGGTCTGGGCAATTTTTTTTCCAGGCAATGGGTTGCTCACTATTGATGGTATTGTCATTGTTTGCTATTCACGCTGCATGACTTTTAAGTCACAAGCTGTTGAGACTTTCTGTTCCTTGTTTGTAAGCTGCTGTGAACTCACTCACTGTCATTTGCCAACAAGACACGCTCAAAGTGAACTTTTGGATAAATCAGTATTTGTGCCAAAATTAATTAAAATAGTAGGATCCAAGAAGAATATCCAGTTAGTTAAATGTAGGGATCAGAGTAATTGTGCACATTTCTAAATTGAATACGCAGAGATAATTATACTCAATTCTTTTATCACTTCACAAGGAACGTCAGTCTCATTATGCATTGAACTGGTTGGCCTAAGGTCACCCAGAACACAAGGAGTAAAGCAAGGACAAGACGCCATAGTTGATGTCATCATGCCATTCTTGCTAAGCCACACTGCGAGGAAGATACAGACAGCTGTGATAACTCAGGACAGACTGAAAGCATTTACCTCAACTTAGGTATAAGACAGCCAAAAGCATAGATGCAGAGGAGTCTGGGTCATCCTTATTTGGCCTGGGTACATCTAGTCATCTCTAGGGGGTTTATTTCCATCTAGGCTAAGAGGAGTTTGGATTGTGAGCTGCAGTACCTGATCCTGACTCATTGCTTCTTTTTCTTCAGCAATTTTACACAGCTTCCTCACCTAGCAGGAACAAAGGAGAATCTGCATCTGGCGCAGCAAGTCCAATCTGAATGGAAGGAATTTGGTTTGGATTCTGTTCACTTGGTTCATTATGATGTCTTGCTCTCTTACCCTGATGACACTAAGCCCAACTACATCTCAATAATTGATGAGCATGGAAATGAGGTACAGAAAACCAGTTTTTGCAGCTAGGGAACAAAATCACCTTCATACACCTGGGAAGCCTGGGAAGGAAAGCTATCCTCTGCTCTGTTAATGTTGTTGGGCCTGATCCAAAGCTCAGGGAAATGAGAGGTTCCAGTTTGCTTTTATGTTTTGTATCTTTGTTTCTTAATGTATGTGCTAGGAATACTAATAATTACCCAGATTCATATAGCATACTGGCATGTAATTGTTTTAAAATTATTCTGTTATTTAGAAAGAGGAAAGCAACCGTGGTCAGCATCATTATTTACACTGATTCATTATACAGTATTGGTGATTGTGCTAATTTCAGTTTCTTGAAGATTAGAGTTTAGGCCTCAAGATGTACTATCACAAGTAACATCAGTTCATCAGAGAGCAGTTCTAGTGCTTGTAGAAGCTCTAGGGATGAGCAGAATGCAAGCATTTTTTACCATTATGATCTAACCTGCTCTTACCTGCTGTACTGAGACCACCTTAAGGGACCCTGTGTTCATTTAAGCAGGATTCTGTGTGAAGAGTGGAGATGGGATTTGCAAGATCATACGCTGAACCTGCATACTGAAAAGGATGCGCAGTGCTTGCTAAAGTTTTGGCAACTCCTCATTTAGAGTTCTAAACCTTTAAACTGCAAATGTATGTGAAATGTGCCTGAATAGGCAGTACTTCTTTTCCGTATTGCCTTGTTTACTTTTTATCTTTTCTTCTTTCCCACTAGATTTTTAACACATCATTATCTGAGCCTCCTCCTCCAGGATATGAGGCTGTTAGAGATGTGGTGCCACCTTACAGTGCGTTTTCAGCCCAAGGAATGCCTGAGGTAACGTAGTAGAATAGTAAAAGAAATAGAAGTAGAAACAGAAACAGAAATAGAAGTAGGAACAGAAGTAGAAATAGAAATAGAGACAGAAGTAGAAATAATAGAAATAGAAAAGATGGAATAGCATGGTGTAGTGTAGCATAGCATAGCACAGAATAGCATAGAGCAATACAGAATAATGTGAAATTCCTAGGTCTTAGGCTTTAGTTCAAAACCTGACGTATCACCAGTAGGAAAGATGTCCTGATGTTCTTGGGAGTTTTGTGATGGAGCAATGTTTAAATTAGGCAGTCATACATACAGGTTAAATTTTTTTCCCCAGTTTCAGTCAGAACTGGAAAAACTTTTTCCTTAAAAAGCTGGTAATAAATCTTTAATGTTGTCAGCTGCTATAAGCTTCTCCAGATATTTCTGTGACTATGCATCATTGTTTCCCATCTTGGTGAATAAATAAGACTTACATTTGCATAGACAAATGAACAATCTAATTTTCCAAACACTGCTTGCCCAAGGCTTACACTGACAGGTATAACTGCCCAGTGTACATTATACTTGAAAATGGCTTTTGCTAGCATTTCTAGCTGGTGGTAAGAGTGTTGCTGTGATCTGAGCTTAAAACTACTCCTTTCTATCTTGTACAGATGGTACCAGCTGACAGACTGTCTTTTATGAAGCTGGCCTGTGTAACAGGAGTTTTCTATCCTATGATCATTACTGGTTTCAATTAATATGTTGTAAGATTAGGAATTTTTTTTGTTGTTCTCAATATCTTTCCTGTCTATACATAGAATAATGTAGGTTGGCAGGGCCCTCTGGAGGTCATTTGGTCCAATCTCTGCTTTAAAGTTGGAACTGATTTTGAAACCTGCTAACAATGCTTTTACTCACACAGCCCAGTATTAATGTGCTTTCTGAAATTCGTTAATAAGCTATGCAAGTCCAGAAAACAAAAGATACCCTGTATTCATTTGCCTCATCTACTCAAAGGAAGCTGGAGAACCAGGCACTTAGTCTGTACCTTAGGATATGAGAGCTTTTAGTGTTTCAAGAATTGCAGTGGGAATTTTGGAACATAATGTAAGGTAAAATTCATGGGTTCTGACTTTGTGTGATAACATAATATCCCCAAAGAAAGGCAGAATAACCTCACTGCTATATTTGGTTTATGGAGAGCTACAGTAAGTGATAGGATATAGGGAATAAGAAAAACAAGTTTAAGAAGCTGCAGCTTCCTTCTTTAGAAAATTTTTTTATTTTAATTAAATATAAGAAATTTGGTTTTGAAAAGAACAATGTTCACCTTATTACATAATACTTTGACAAAAGCTCCAGGTACCTAGCTAGTGCTGTTAGCAATAGCATTCTCCAGTAAGCAGTTGTCAGCACCTGTACAGCAAACAGTACGGGAGGGAGCACGTATAGAGCTCAGCAGTGGGAATACTCAGTGGGTTCAGGGCTCTTCTGCATTCTCCCAGGCCTGTTTATGTATTTTATGTTAAAAAACGTTCTATTAAAAACCAGAACTAAGCTGTGGAGAGAGATATTTGGAACTTGCCAAGTGCAATCATCAGTCATAGGTTCTCTTTCTGCTCATTAATTTTACGAATGATTCCTGCATAAAGCTCCAAGTTCAATGAAGGGAGAAGTCTGTAAAATACCTGCATCCCAGGATAACTATAGCCTCACGAGTAGGCCACCTTCCTGGAAAGTGGGAGAGATGGTCAAAGTTCTTCATACTGAGTGAGGCCAAGAACACAGCTCACACATTTTCTGGGTGAGTGCTATAGTCAGGGAGTTGTGGAAATACAGTTTGGCGCTGCTAGCACTATTACTTTTTCCTGCAGCTTCTAATTTTCCTGCCTAATTTTGGTTGTCTGAAATTGTAGGCAACTTCCCTAAACCAGCCTTTGAGGCTTTTTGTAGGCATTTACTCTAAAACAGTCTTTGAGGTATAATCAATGAGAGATATATCCAGAGGCCAATTTATTCCATCCTAAAGTAGGTGTTTGAAACAGATTTGGGGGAATTCTGGAAAGGGTGAGTTCTCAGAGGACTTCCCAACTCTTCACTGGCTATGGAGTGCACTACAGGACCTTCTTAGACAATGCACACAGCTTTTAGGTAGCTGACATTAAGGAAGATGAATCCTGCACCAATTATCGAATAACATGGTTGAAACACAATCGTGAAGAATACTCTATTCATGTGCAGGGTATATTTATTTTGACAGTCAACCACCTGTAGCTTCTGCTGTATTGAATAACAATTGAGTCCTGAGAATTTCATAGGCTATTGGCATCATTCAGTCTACTGCATAAAATCCAATTGATAATGTACTGTGGTGCCTGGCTCCAAAATATCTCCAGCTGTCCCAGACTGACTACAACTTAAACGGACTACAAATAGAAGTAAATGCCGTACTCTGAGCACTTACTCTTTCAGAAGTCATATCTTAACATTTTCCATTGTGGACAAAGTCTTGCAGCTTGGATGGTAGGAGTCTAAGTTCATTAGAAATCACTTGCCTACCTAAATGTCTCATGATCAAGAAGAATTCATACCAGAGCCAATCCCAGAGCTCATTGTTCTCAGCTTATTCTCTTACTAGATCACATCCTTGTTTTGACATGCTCATTGACATTCTTGTTTCAAATTCTACCTCTTTCTATTAGGGTGAGTTAGTGTACGTGAATTATGGCCGCACCGAGGACTTCTTTAAGCTAGAACGTGAAATGGGAATTAACTGTACAGGAAAGATTGTTATTGCCAGATATGGGAAGATCTTCAGAGGAAATAAGGTAATGCCTCTGTATAAAAATGTTACTTGTGCTGTCTTCCAGTTGATTTCAAGAGACTGAATCACTTACCTGAAGTGTTCTGGAGATTCTAGCGTAACTCAGTTTTCATGCAGCTGTGTTCAAAGATGATTCTTTAGTAGAAGATATAATATGTATTTGTTATGTATATAATATATAGGATAAAAGTAAGTTGGAAAATGTTACGTATTTTTATACTCATTTGCATACTATACATTGTTCCAAAATATTACTAACATTCTTGAGTAATACACTCTGAACTAGATTGTTCTTCCCTATTGGTTCAGCTGTGTTTCTTTATAATGGTTTCTGTACACCAGGCAGAGACTATAACTACATGGACGTTATTTTAAGTAAGTACTGTATTTGTTTATTCTATGTCCCTATCATATAAATATTTTTAAACTACAAATTTCTGCAGATTTCCATGGCCTGACAGGAAGGGACATAATCATGTGCATACTTCAGGCATACACGCAAGTTATTTCCTCAATAGGGATGTAAGAAGACAGTCTATTTTAAGTCTGTTTGTTTGGCTCTTGTAGTTTGACCCTAATTTGGGCAGGACTATAATTTGTATTTCTCAGTTACCTAAGGGTATCAAACATGCATCTCCTCACTGAAACGCCAACTCTTACTACATGCAGTTGATTAATCTCCTGTGACCTTTTAAGTGGGTAACTCTCTGGTTTGCGTACATACCATTTTCACCAGTGAAAAGTGACATGTTACTCACATTGTGGGTCAGATGATAGTATTTTCACTGAATTGTTTACCACTCTTAAGGATACTATCTCAATGGAAGAAACTTAAAAATTGAAGAAGGTATTGCTGTGAATCTTTTCTTAAAATGAAATACAAACACCTTAGGGTTACTAATGTCTAGAGGGGCAGTTGTCCCATGGTTTGGAACTTACATGCTCTCGTTGACACAGAGGGATGATATGTTCATTCTTACAGTTGTACTTCTAATGACTGTTTATATACTGAAGAATTTGGTAGCCTGTATAAAATGGAGAACTGTACTGTCATTTTCTGACTTCCTAATGGTGTGCAAGAATAGGATAGATGATGAAGGCAAGTACTGTATTTCCTAAAAAAAAAAGCTATGGTTCTGAATTAAAATACTGAAATTTAAACCTGTTGAGTATTAGTTGTCACTCAGTCACTGTACATCAATGTCATATCTAGTAGCAAAATAGATAGGGATGTCAGAATGACATATATTTTCTCTCTCTCACTTTCTACCAACCAGTATTATATAATAATAGAGTTGCATGAGAACACCTTTTTTAATCAAAACAGGATGCAGGTCAACCTTTCTGCCATAATAAGCCTAGGATACACACTCTTTGGAGTTAATCTTGTTCACAGCCAAAACCAGTTTCAAGCTCTCCAGTAATAATCTTCCTGTGTGGAATGAACCCTGGGATACATTCAGGAGATCTTTTGGTAAATAAGGTAAATACATGACTAACTGAAAGATAAGGTTGCATCAACGCGATGTGTTTTTTTCCATCCATGATGTGTACATTTCAATAGCCAGTTGACTGTATTGATCTGGATGACAGAATACAAACTCAGGTTATGTAGTAATTCCGTGAAGGATGTTTTCCATGACACTGCAGTTGTCTCCTAACTAAAATTCAAAGCAACAGCAAACCTCTTACTTTCATATCGAACCTGATATCTGCATATATATTTTCAGGAAATTTTATGATAGGAGACTGTAATGGGGCCTTTACTTAGCCCAAACACTGTAAAAAGCCCTGAGGAATAATCAGTGTAATTTATAATACTTTGACCCTTAAACTCTGGTGTCAAGCTATAAAGGATTGGATAGGGACTGGAGATGTGCTTTGCAGGTAAAGAATGCTGAATTGGCAGGTGCCAAGGGAGTTATTCTGTACTCTGACCCTGCTGACTACTGCGCCCCAGGAGTAGATGCTTATCCAGATGGCTGGAACCTGCCAGGTGGAGGAGCCCAGCGTGGGAATGTGCTAAACCTGAATGGGGCAGGGGATCCCTTGACACCGGGTTATCCTGCAAAAGGTGAGTGACATTAGAGGAGTCACGCTCTGAAGATCTGGCTTCAGGAAAGAGGGGAATAGATAATGTGGATATTCTTTCCCTTGGAACAAAAAAAAAATGTTTTCTTGGTCTTTCTGTTGCTCAAAAGAGGCAGCTTTGGGCTTCACATAGGCCAGTTCTGTAAACGGTGCATGAGAGAAAGTGAGGGGATGCTAAGGGATCCACACAATGCACTGCTGGACTGCTTAACTTCACAGACATACCCAAGTTAGCCCAGAGATCATGACACAAGCATTCAACAGCTGAAGCCCTAGTCTTTCTGCTTCTCATCAGTAAGTCAGCAAGGAGCCAGCCTGCACAGCTCACAGGTTTCTTTGCTTTTGCAGTTCTCTGTTCTGCAGGATTTGGGCTGCTTTCCCTCCACCAGAGTCCCTGCTGGCAATGCTGACTTCTTTCATGCTGGGACTCATGTCACCTGGCTGCAGCTGAGGCCTCTGAGAAGATTACCATTCCCCACTGTTTCATCATCTTCACCTTATGCTTCCTCAGCTGCTTATTTGAGCTCTGCCTAAGCTGTTTCATTTAGCACCTAACTCAGACCATTTTGACTGAAATGTTAAGAACCATTCATGTCAGCACTGGAGCCAGCATATCTGAGGGAGGCAATCACCTCAAGAAGAGTAGTCCCTAAGTGATGGGGAAAGTTGCCTCTAGTCAGCACAAATTGAGCTGGAAGAGGATACGAGTTCACAGCGACAGCATGGCAGGAGCAGACCATGAGGAAGATTTCTGGTTCCTCATGCTAGAATCAGTGGTCTCAGAGATGAATCCCTGTCTGCTTCCCTCAACAAGGGTCCCTGTGAATGTTGTATTAAAGAGGAAACTATTACATACCTGCTAGCTTGCAAACATCAAATTTTGTCCACATTGTGAAAATTAAGATTCTCATTTTTTAAAAAAAAAAGGATGATTTTTATTTGAGATTTGTCAGAACGAAACCTGGACTTCATTCTGTTCACGAAAATGGCAAAACAGAATATTCAGTAGCCCAGTCTATAAGATTTTATCTGCTTCTTTTCTAGTTCCAAACATCAGACTATGGGCTCCCTCTTTGCTCTTTGTCTGTGGCTTAGTCTGAAGTCATTTCCCATGGAGAGAAATATTTCTATCTAAAAGCATTTCAGTACAAAAAATTAACAATTTTAAATTTTCCAGCCAGCTCTAAATGCATGACTACAGACACTATGGGGGAACCTTTGTTAATGTCTCTCTGAAACATGTTGGTAAAGCATGATGAATGAAATTGCTGAAGAAATGTCAGCCCAACTTTGAGAAGAGTGAGATGTATATCCCTGACTCCAGTGTTAGGACTGTGCTATGAACTGTACAGTTTCATTCTGAGAGTTGTAAATATGAAAATATCTGTCTCTTGCTTTCAGAATACACCTACCGATTAGACAAAGCCGGTGGTGTAGGTCTCCCCAAAATTCCAGTTCATCCCATTGGCTATCATGATGCTGAGTCATTACTGCGGTAAGTGTATGGGAGACATGAGGAGTTTTAAGCAGGCTGTGTTTTGAAAGTTATGAGAGTATTTGAAAAGAAGGGGAAAAGACTTTTGCCCTGTGCTTCTACTGTACCTCTTGAGGTAGTCTATGTTTGTTTTTCATTAGGTTCTCTGTAGGAGGAAAGCGTGTTATCTATTACTATGTATGAGATATGTCCAGAGTGATCTGGAAAGGATCATTTGTAATATATCATGATCAGTCAAGTATACCAAAGTTATAAAGTGCCTCTCAGTTTGAATAAAGGCAAAAATTTTTGAGGATGGCATGATACCTGTCTTATGGAAAAGACCACAAATGAAGTCATTTGATTGAAATGTTAAGAACCATTCATGTCAGCACTTGAGCCAGCATATCTGAGGGAGGCAGTCACCTCAAGAAGAGGAGTCCCTGAATGATGGGGAGGGTTGCCTCTAGTCAGCATAAATTGAGCTGGAAGAGGATACGTGTTCAATATGAAGTCATTCATTTGTCCAGGGAAGTACTTGCCATGCATGTTTGATGGGACAGTGTCTGTACCGTCCTCTGTTAAATGAAGGCATGTGCTTTCTCTCATCAGGTGTATTATGTTGCACAAAAATAAAATTATGCTAGCGAACTAATTATTAGACATTTACATGTAAGTAAGTATGCTTACTAAATATGCAAGTGACATGAAGACAGGCTACCAGCTTGCCAGAGGACAGTATTAAACTTCATAATTATCTTAACAAATCAAGTAAGTTGAAAAAACTAAGATGTGATTTAGTTGGCAAGTGTATCGTTCCCCTAAAAATGTAGCAGTAATCATCTGTATCAGCTGTTGAGATACTGAGCAGGAAATGCCGGGGTTGGCAATTGACTAAGTGGCTAAGGGTTTAGGGCAAGAAGTGAACATAATCTTGCATGTGTATTTGTACAGGAATTTTACCTCTAAATTACATGAGCAATCATTCTGCTCTGTTTGATGCCTCTGTTTGAATATTGAGTAAAAAACAAAAAAAAATTTCTATCTTGGTTCCCTATGCAGTTTTCCTGTGAAGTATTGAAGCCATTTATTTTTATATGAGGCAGAATTGTACTGTCTTTGGTGGTTTTGCATACCTGATGTTCATTAAAAGTGTTCTAGTGTTTTTCCTGTTTCCTCCCAAACTTCTGTGGTCTAATATATCTCCAGACTGTCTTTTCTTTAAAGCTTTAGTCATCACTGTTATGAGGATAACAGCTCATAATGATAAAGGTATAGGTTAAAAGCCCTCTTTTTTTCTCCTGCCAGCTATTAGAGGTGATTAATATGTATAAATATGATATAGCAAGATATTTCTCTTCAATAAGTTGTAAATAACTCTAGAAGTTGGTTTTAATAATTGTGAATGAAATCTAAATCCTCTAAAAATACTGGGTCCTTGTTTTCACTTTTGGCTTGAGAAGTCATAACTTCTAGTTATTCCTACTATCATATTTTTATATAAAAATATACCAAGGACTTGAAGACATGCTGAAGTGCTCTGCAGCATAAAGCTTGACTGAAGTATGCATGTAGAGTAAAGAACATGCTTTCATTTACAATAAATCTGTTTTACCTAATAAGAACTAGAACATCCAGCATACTTTTTCATACTTTTTTTTATGTTTCTCACAAGTTCATGTCAAAAATATAAATCCTTTAGAACAGGTGAATAATTATGGGTGATTGTGATCCACTGAATTACTGCATTTCCAGTTGTGTTACCTGAGAAAAAATATCTCACCTTTGATAATGGAACAAGAAAAGGTGACTTGGACTGATAACGTTTCTCTAATTTTAGACATCTTTGAACACATCAACTCTGTCTGTGCTACCAGATTAAACAGTGTCCAGGGACAGGCACTGGAAGACAACTGTCTGTGCTGTTAAACTGTTAGAATTGTCCAAGTTACTCTGCTAATTCAAATGCAAATGTAGTTCAAGGCAGTAGAAAGTTCCAGGGACCATTTTACAAGAGGCAGTTTGTATGCAAAACCTTCGGAGGCCAACACTGTTTCCAGGATAACTGTAGGCCATTTCAAGCTGATCTCGATGCCCAGGACTATTCCTCTATATTAATTTACTAGTATTAATGTAGCTAAAAAGACAGATTATTCTTCTATGGAAGCTTGTAGTATGAATTGTCTAAGACAAAGACCATCACTGTGGTCTGTGCTGTGCATGGGACCTAACAAAGTGTGGTTCTTGGTTCCTCATTTGTGTTTGGTGCTATTTTAAGATGTCTGTAACCAATAATGATTTTTTTTTTTTATAATAGTAATATGGGAGGATATGCACCACCGCATAGTAGCTGGAAAGGAAATTTGAATGTATCTTACAACGTTGGTCCTGGTTTCACAACAAATTATTCTACAAGGTCAGTTTTGTTTTGTAAGGAAAGCATGCTTGGAATCAGAGAAAAACAGGTAGAGCAATAGAATTTTACCAAAGGTAGAGTGGTTGGGGTTATTTGCATCATTCCTTTGATTGTGACCATTTCCTGGGCTGAAATGCGGTCAGTGCAAAGCTTCAGTAGATTTACGTCTTGATTGGATGGATGTGACTGAATTGTTTTAGTTTCCAGCTAGTCTTGAACCACTTTTATTTGAAAGGCATCTAGCCTTTGACAAACTATTGATGAGACTGATTATTTTTTTGAAAACTGAATTTGATGTCTTTTTTAAATTCAGGTGGGGTCCAGCTTCCGATCTTATCTATTGCCTTACATGAAACAGTATCAACCTACAAGTCCAGTTCTCCAGGAAAAAAGCTTTAACTACAATGTCATTTTTATTGCTTCAGTTGTTTTAAAACTGATTAGTAATTACAGTTTAGGACTAAAGTCCAGGTGTTTCAATATTGGCTGAGCTATTGTACTGACTTCATGTGAACCATTTGACATTTTCTCTATGTCTTAGTCATACCACATGAAAAATTCTTTCTGAAAAATATACAGACAACCCTTGAGGATGAGTTGTTGCACCTCCAGCTGTGTTGTAGATAAACAAAGTCTTCTGATGCAACTCAGGCTGTCTGATTTTCTGCTGCTTGAAGTGCCACATCAGTATTGATTATGCTGGAGTCAGTTCTGATTTGCACCAACCTCTAAATGATTAGAACCACTTACCTTTTCAACATTAGATGGTTTTCATTTTTCTTTCGCTCTTTTAAATTTAAAAATTAGCTGCTAGCAAAAAATCTTTGAATTTGAAATTCTGAGCCTGTTACCAATATAACTCTTAGTGACATCAATAACAGTAAATAGCTTTCAAGGGCTAAATGCTCTTCTCACTTGCACAAGTATAAATCCAGAAAAAACTACACAGAAATCTTTTCAGTTTACTTTGGTTTAATGGAGGGTAAATTTGGCCAAAATGCTTTCCTTACAATTTATATCGTACACTTTTGCAAGGTGTCAACATGTTTTAGTATCTAATCTAATGGATTTTCTCTTTGGATTTTCTTCCCAATACACCAGACAGGTGAAAATGCACATTCATAGCCACAACGAAATAACAAGGATTTACAATGTGATTGGTACCATCAGAGGCACAGCGGAACCAGGTAAGGTCATTTGTCTTCACTGCAAGGGGAGCGTGCAGTGACCTCTATATGCACTTCATAGTTACAAGAGGGAAATGAGGAATATAGTTTTCTCTGAAATATTGCATGACATGATCAGTGGTGTTGAAATATTTATTGCACCAGCTTTCGTATGGTTCAGAGTATGTCAGCACTTTCACTGTAAATGCTGATTTTCAAGAGGGGGTCATAACCAAGACAAAAATATTTGTCTTCAGGCAAGTAACTTTGCAATTGGAAGAATATTAAGTGGGTATTCTTCCCTACTAACACAGGAATGGATTTTACATTCCATCTGAAGACACTGTATGCACCACTTTTTTGGGGCTTTTTTTGGTTGTCTTTGGTTTTTTGGCTGTCTTACAGTGTCTTGTAACCAGTGTGATTTTAGACTCTAAAAAACCAAATATATAGACAACCCTAGGATGATGATAAGATCATTTAACTTGTAACTGCAGCACTTCCCTGTTGCCTGAAACACAACTGTTAACCATCTTGTAGTAGCACAGAGATCTAGTCTGACTTTGATTTGGACAATCCTTTTTATGATTGACTATATATATTTTCAGAGAAATACCACATTCAGCACACCTTAATGTTGGTGTGTTGTACAAATATAATTAGTGGATCAGCTTTACCATGAAACTATTGCAAAATATGGAAAGATGCTTCTATCTTCAGTGGAACGCTGCAGTATTTCTAATAATAGAAGTCACATTATGGAATTAAGGAGGTTTTAAGTCTTATGAGATCAAGTTATTGTGTTTGACAAATTCTTTAGCACTGGCTGAAAATGCAGAAAAATGTCTTTGGAGACTTAAAATGTCTTTTGCTTTCTATTATGTATATTATAAACTGTTAGGCTTTGTTGCCTGATACCTACATGGAAAATTAGAAAGGACTTCCAATTAACATCTCTATGGCAGGAAAAAGTTTTTCTAAGTAAACATCCATAATTAATTTCTCTAGACAGATATGTCATCCTGGGAGGCCACCGCGACTCGTGGGTATTTGGTGGCATTGATCCTCAGAGTGGCGCAGCTGTAGTTCATGAGATTGTGAGAAGCTTTGGAAAACTGAAAAAGAAAGGTAACGAAAGAATAAAGCACACTAAAATCACTGCTCTCAGCACGGACCATTGCTTTCTCTGGGATTTAAGCATATGCTTAGAATGAAACACATGTATCTCACTGATTTGTCGAAGAAGCACGCTGCTCTGCAGCTGTTAACTAGTTCCAGTTACAACCTCAATATATGTGACGTACTTCTACTCAAGAGAAAGTACACCTAAAGGAAAACAAAACACAAAATGGGGGATACTGAAATGAATATGACATTTAGGTATAATTGATTACTGTGTATTTGATCAGACTGAATGTTTCAGTCGTCCTGTAAAATTGATACAGTGGTGGACTGATCAAGGCTTCATCAGGGCAACATCAAGAGCCTTCTCAGCACGTGACTCTAGTTTGGAGGTGGACTAAAGAATAAAGAAAGCATGTCAGTGCAATGCAGAGAATGAGCTGTGCAAACATCGTAAGAGGTAGTGGTTAAAAATACCTCGTGCCAGGTTACATTAGAATAGGAACAAATGTCAACTGTACCAAGTTTCTGCTGCTGTCAGAGCAAATGCTATCTTCCTATCTGACATCCCATGGAAAGAAGCTCTGACATAACTCAAATACTGTGCTAGAGGAGCTTTCTTTGCCTACCCATTACATGTAAAAGCTATTGACATTTAGTCATTTTGTTTTCTTTCCATTCCCTCCAAGTTATTGGATATCAGGGGAAACTGTCTTTGGAATGCAAGCTGGGGGGAAAAAAAAAAAGTTAAAAATAAAGGGAGCAAAAGATGAAAAGGTTCCAGTAGGCTCAAAGAAAACTTTGAGCAAAGGTACAGAGGCAGGACAATACAGCCTGTTCCATTTAGCCTGGGTTTAAATCGAATGCAGAACTTCAAGTGAAAGGTCTTTGTTTTGAAGGTGATCTGAAAAGTTACAAGGAATTCCTTAGGTTTTGAAATCCAGCATTTGGGAAACAGGTCAGAGAAATTCAGTAATAGATGTGAAAACATACCAAACACTTTTCTGTCAAAGTAGACACTGGTATACAATGTGTACTAAATTGAACAGAGCAGAAAGAGTAGAAAAGCTTTCTTTCAAGAATTTGTGCACAATCACATTAGTTTTTCTTGTTCAGAGTTTTAAATTTTAGAAAATTTTCTTGCAATTAAAGCTGAGAGAAGAAAAAGAATACATTATTTGTCACAATACTGACGTAAAGTGAGATTGCTACAAAATTAGCAAACCATTATTAGATTAGGTTAATAAAGAAGCTGGTGTTAAAGTTCCTTAAACACACCTCTTTCTCACAGATCAGAATAAAAGATGAGGCCCCAAAAAATGACATTTGTTTCATGTTAGTTACCATGTAACAAGTAGTCTTTATTTCTGTAATACAATTTTCATGGTGTTTTATTGCAGGATGGAGGCCAAGGAGAACAGTGATATTTGCAAGCTGGGATGCAGAGGAATTTGGCTTGTTAGGATCGACAGAGTGGGCTGAGGTAAAACAATAGTGTTCAAAGAGAAATTTGCACAGTGGCAGATCTTTGAGAAATCTGTACTAGAAAGTAACACTTCTTCCTTCCTCTCTCCCTCTCTTCCTCCCTCCCTCTTCCTTACACACACACACACACAGAGTCTTAACTTTCCTTTTGAACTACCAAGAATATATGGCTCCTTGCAATATATAATGTCTTTCCCTGAAGAGCTGTTACTTATGTGGATAGGAAAATGGTTCTGAGGAAAAAACAGTTCATGAGTTCTTTCTTCCTCTCTTCCTTCTCATAGGAAAATGCCAAAGTATTGCAAGCACGGGGAGTGGCTTATATCAATGCAGATTCCTCCATCGAAGGTACATAGTTCTGACTTGTGTTTTACAAGAATGGTAATGGTATATACAGATGACTGGGAGGCATTTTGGCTTGGAGATCCCTGAAAGCTTCAGTGTGATAATTTTGTTGCATCAATTCAGGAGTAGATATGGAGGGAAACTGACACAGAATCATAAAGTATCATTCAGATATTCCTATTGCTTCAGGGAAGAAGTCCATTACAGTAGCTACACTATTTGGGAAGTCATGGGGAGGGACAAGAAGTCAGCAGCTCTACAGCAACTCTTTAGAATCAGCTTCTCCTCTTAAAATGTGTGTAATAAACACAGAGACATAAGAAAAGCTCTTAAGAGTTGCTTCAAAAGCTGGGCTGTGATTCATCCTAACCAATACAAAGACAAGATCACAGGAGAACTCTTCTACAGGGAGAATCAGCTTGGTCCTTGTAGGGAGTGTAATGCTCTAGTCCCTTTCTTATTAACAAATTATGGGACAAGGTTTCAGCTGAGTAGAACTTGCTTCTTCGAATAAAAAGTTTTAGTTTTTCCTGTGTTTCAGGAAACTACACACTACGAGTGGATTGCACACCCCTGATGTACAGACTGGTGTACAGTCTGACTAAAGAGGTAATATTGCTTGAAATTTTTAGCCAGCATGTTCAGTGCTCACTTACTGGATGGGTCTGTGTGTAAAAGTACAGTGTCAGGTGTTTCTTTTCTGACAGTAGTACCCCTGTTAAGTCAATAGCTAAGTAACTGGAGCTTTTTACTAGGAGTGGCAAAGGGATTTCAAGTTTATACTTTTAAATTATTAGCTATTCAGGATTAGGGGATTAGAGGATTTTTCCTCCTGTAAAAGTATTCCTTCTAAGAACAAAATAATAAAAAAATGCCATGACCTAGAGGACAGAAACCAGACCAACTACTAGGGTGCCCATGGTAGTGGGAGACTGATTCCCTTTAGCAGGGGAAGAAATTAGGCTTGCTACAGTGTTGTGTTTAGCATGATGTCACAGGTTTGGTCAATGTGCTCAGCTTCAGTGTATTCTATTAGATATTAACTAGCTCTGACCATGATGCTCTCACACATATTTGTGTCGCACACAAAATTAAAAGGTAGGGACCTTTCTCAGGAAACAGACTCACCATCTTAGATGTAAGATGTTCCTTGCTTTGAGAGTGGGTCTTAAAGGCTGGCACCAAGGGCTTTTTGTTTGCTTTTTTCTGTTCATCTGTATTAAAGCAGGAACTTTTAATTAGTTGTCTTTGTGTGCATTTTATATACATATATATAATGTGCATTCAACTACTGTATATATTCTGTGAATCTACTATATCTGTCTTCATGTGCTGTATATATTCAGTCATCTGTCTTTTCCAGGGTTGATGATTTGTTATCTCTTGGAAGCTGGCATTAGACTGGTACAAAAGTAAAGGAAGTGTAGTAATTCAATATAGTCATTTTCTAGAGATTGAAAGACAACAGTTAAAATTTAACTCTGTTAAAAATAGGTGCCCAGATAAAGATATTTCTGTCCTGAACTACAAAACAGCTGATCACCTGCAGTTCCCATGGTAACCTGTGCTAAGTGTTGGTGTTCAGAACAGTCAGAAAATCAGGTCAGAAAAGTCTCAGTTTGGGCACCAAGAGCTGATGTTAAAATGTTGACCTAAATACCAGTCAACACGGTTGTGTAACTCTTCCTCGAGCTGGGAAGCAGCAACAAAGGCTGATGAATGCATGTAACCACAGCTTGTTGGTAGCTGATGTCTGAAGAGAATGCTGATCAGGAAGCAGGTCCTGTGTGATCCCATCCAAAGTTAATCTGTGGCAAAAAGTGTTAATGCTGTTCTATGAACAGTTAGCTTCATAACCAAAAAACCAAATACATTAGTTTTGATTCCTATGGTGGACTAATTGTTAGATTTAGATATTAATAATAGAATAGATATTAATAATCTTTAATAGCTTAAAGATAATAAAACCTCAGCAGCCTACCAATAAAAAGGAAAGATGAAAAAAACCCACAGTGTTTAACCTGCTCAGTAATCTGGAAAGTAGTGATAAGAATGAATTTTAGGGTGATCATGATTTGTATACCTCTGTAGCAGCTATGATGACATAAACACCAACTATTGTACACTTTGCCCTTCTAAGGTTACTGCTGCATCCATGAAAATAATTTTTGTGAACTAAAACAAGGTAGAAACAGTTTTGAATTAAACCAAGACAAAACTGAAATTTCCTTCCAAAGTGAAACAAAAAGTTTTGGTTTTGTGAGGGATTTTTATGTTGAATATTTAAATTAAATGGATGAAAATCTCATAAAGAACTATCAGAATGTAAAAATTGTCTTGAAATGTTTTGCTTTCCATGTGTTTTCTTCTGTCTAAAATTACCTATTTTTAGGAAATAAACTACTCCTCTGGAAAATGCTATGCATTTGAAATGTTAAAATGGAAAACCAGAAAGATTGAGGGACTTAAGACTGTGACTTATTCATTGTCCTAAGCGATAGGCTTAACGTGATGACAGCTTGTAGATTTGTTTCTTGGTAACATTTAAAATTGTACCCTTTGTCTTTTTTTACAATATATTTTTTCTAGATACCAAGTCCTGATGAGGGGTTTGAAGGAAAATCTCTTTATGAGAGCTGGTATAAAAAAAATCCATCAAGAGAATATAAAGAGGTTCCCAGGTCGGTGACAAAAGAAAATAAACTATATACCAAAAGTTATTATGACTTGTAGAGCATGGGTTTTAAAGAAATATCCACTTGAAAAACTGAGCGCTTAAAAGAAATGGTGTGATTCTAGGCTGGTATAAATTTCAGAGTTTTATTGATTGCATCTGATACACTATTGTGCAAGAGTTTTTGTGTACTGGCCTTTGTAGCATGAACAGGAGGCTTTATATCTGAAAAGTACAGTGTTTGTGTAGTTTATAGAGATTCAGACAAAGATTTTATGCACAAGCCAGCAACAGGCATACAAGATGCTAACACAGCAGCTTTCCCTTGCACTTGCTTCCAGTCTCCTGGAAGGCCTCTGAGTTTGCGTGACTGGGGAGCACAGGAGGAAAGATTTTACAACACTGTCCTTCAGATTTACCAGGGTTTCTCTATAGAATCTCAAAGACTGATTCTATTTCATGGAGTCGTGCTGGTACTGTTGTGATTTCTCTGAGTTGAGAGCTTGGGATAGTGGAAGTTCATCAGGAGGAAGGTCATTGGGTCTTCTCAATGATTAAAGACAGTGAGTTAAATTCTCCCCCAGAGTTTAATTTCTCTGACCCTGAGAATGATGACTCTGCTCCTCCGAGAATGCAATTGATGAGGTGCATGTAACGTAGGGGTCACAGGCAATTCATGGTACATTGACAGAAAGAGCACACTAGGGAAAAAAAGACTGCAACTGCGGAATAAATAATTGCCACAGTACTTGGAAGCAAACTAAAATTATACTTTAAGTATTGTCACTCAAGGCATTTTCCTGTTTCTTGTTAAAAGAATAAATAAACTGGGTTCTGGCAATGACTTTGAAGTCTTTTTTCAACGTCTTGGCATCGCTTCAGGCAGAGCACGTTACAGTAAAAACTGGGTAAGTTTATGTCTTTGTAATTTTGTCTCGCCTGTAACTGCCTGAATAATATCACCTGTAAGTGAGCCATTTAGACTGCCAGCTTTTTGCAGTAGTTCAGTTTAATGTGTCAGAGTGGAGTCCCAGTTCATTACTAGAACTCTATGTGCTACTACAACACAAATATTTAATAAATAGGAATGGTCCAGCTGGTGTCAGTCAGACAAAAGGACCTTTGCTTAGGGTGAATTGATGTGCTTAAAATTACCTTTGGTTGATGAAGGTTTATGAGTGGTTTATGATGACTTTTGAATGAATGGTTATCACTTATGAAGCTTTGAATTCAAAATAGTTCATGTTATATGGAAAAATATGGGTTTGACTCTGGAGCATACTGTGAGATGACACTAATTGAGAAATGTTCAAGGAGCAATCTGTTCAATGTGGTCTTTTCCTCTGAAAAAACACAAACAGAAATGACTGTTGAGATCCAAGCAAAGAGAAGAAGGGCGATGTCACCTTAATTTAGCCAATTAAAAGTAATGTTTCTGTTCTTAGCTACCTTCTTTAGGCTCTGTACATGGTCAGTGGTGAGACATCTCCAAATGACCATCTCATCGTAGGTTGATGTCTAAGAGAGCCATCACTGAGCAGTTCTTCTCATCTGACTGCCTGTAGAGGCTACATAGGGTTAGTGTGACCTGAAAACTTTACAGTGCCTTGAATCCCACAGCAAAGGTTTTCAAGCAGAGCTGAAGTATCCACAGCTGAATAATGTTTTTGTTTGGGTTTGTTTGTTCCAGAATATAGAAAAATATAGCAGCTATCCAGTTTACCACAGTGTGTATGAAACCTATGAAATTGTGGAGAAGTTTTATGATCCCACTTTCAAGAATCATCTGACAGTAGCTCAGGTACGGGGAGGGCTAGTGTTTGAATTGGCCAACTCCATTGTGCTTCCTTTCGACTGTAGAGATTATGCATCAGCTGTGAGCAACTACGCTCACATCATCTATAATTTGTCAAGGAATCATGAAGAGGAACTGGCAACATACAATGTATCCTTTGGTACGTACTGTCTTTCATGACATTCTTCGTCTCTCAAAGCTAGCAGTGCCTTATCTTAATGTATGTCTTAGTCATGACCTGGTACTTACCTTGTGCTTTATGAACAGTAAATAAAACAAGAGCCACACCTTCCAATAATTTGAAATTTGGATATTTTGCCACTAATACGCCTGTGTAGAGACTATGGCTTACTAGTGACACTGCCAAGTAGAGCTAACGCTTACAGTCACAAGTTCTTTGACCTGTGCATGGTTCACCAATGTTGGCAACAAGATATCTTTGTCTTGATCCCTAAAAAAAAAACCATCACACTGCTTTGCAGCTTATGGTGTTGGATGATTCTCTGACACCGATCATAAGATAATTTTGCCTAGAAGGAACCTCAGGAGGTCTCTAGGTCAACCTGCTCAAGGCAGGGTCAGCTCTGAGGTCATTGCTCAGTGCTTTATCCCAGCTGGTCTCAAAAACCTCCCAGGACAGAGACTACAGAACCTCTCTGGACCACAGTGCTTGACTGTCCTAAGGGTAAAAAGATTCTCCTTAGAGCCAGTCACAACTTCTCTTGTTTAGTTTATGGACACATGATGGCTAGTGCAAGCACCATGAGAAGTTTGCCTTGGCGCTTTTCAGGCAGGAGTGCTTCATCCCTATGCTACAACAGGGATCTTGTGCTGGCATGTGAAATTTTATTTCAAGTTAAGGATTCACAATATGCCTCCCGCCTGAGAAGCCTTTATTTTATTGGCAACATTGTATAGTATTCAGTTTAGGGCTTGGCTGTTACTGACCAATACCGGGTTCGTGTGTGCACACATATACTCTTAGTCTTTCTCAAAGCTCTGTATGTGTTGGAGGGACTTACCCGTAAAACACAGGTTGTTGGGATTTGTAAAATCCCAGACCTACCTAAACAGTCTGGTTCTGGCAATCCATGCTCCAGTTTTTGGTATTTCTGTACATTGTTCAAGTAGCAAATAATGAACAATATTCGCAAAAATACTGATTTCTATTGTCTCCAAGGCAAGGTTTCACACAGAATATGGGGTCATCTGATTTTCATTCAGTGAAACTTGATGGATCATGGTCACAGTGAAAAAGTTTTAATTTGAATAATTTGATTTGTTAAATGATTCCTTCAGAATTTGAAGTTAAATATTTCCTTCCTGCTCCCTCCAGATGCTCTCTTTTCAGCTGTGAAGAATTTTACAGAAGTTGCTGCTAGCTTTCATGAAAGACTGCAACTAATAGATATCAATAAGTAAGTTTAACTCTTTTTTTTTCTTCCAGTCACATACTCCATGTAGTCCTCTGGGCTCAGAGGGCATAGTCTTCACTTGTATTTAGTCCCCTGAATAACCTGTCAGTCTGAATAACTGTCAGTCATTTGTTTCATTGTAAGTCCTTATGGAGTCTTGTCTTTAAGGATCTGTTTACTCTAGGAAACAAAGTATAGAAATGTTGAATTAATGGACATCAGAGACACTGCAGAGCCTGGGAATCTAGCCATGTTAGCTTCGAGAAGTGTCCAAGCTAATTCTTGACAGGTTTTACTTGAGGAGCAGTGCCAGAGTGATACATGGATGTGACTAGAATGCTGGTTAGCATGAGCAGAGCCAGCTCAGGTGTGTAACTCCTTCTAAGTAGAGACACATCCTAAGATTTTGTTACTGGATTATCATTAAAGAACAAATGTTGACTTGTGATCTTCGTTTGCCAGCACTCTAGTTTTCAAGATACTGGTACCACTTAATGCAAAAAAAAAAAAAAAGAGCTGTACCATGATTGTAGTTGTGGCAAGCTTTTTGACAAGCTTTCAAGAAGTTCTATGCACCATCTATGCCAAAAGGCTTAATTTGCATTTGACTTATTTCTTAAATTATTCTTTTGTAAGCCATGCCCAGAATGAGAACCCAAACTTCCTTTTATATATACATATGTGTACGTTACATTTCTGGGGAAGAATCTAATTTAGCCATATGCTTACCCTTATGGAAGATTTAAGGGAGAATAAAAGCAATCTTTTTAATGGCAACAATTTTCAAGATAAATGAATTAACAATAATTTCTTATGTAACATATAACATCTATGACATATGACATGTATGTGACATTTTCAAAATGGTTTCATTGATGGATGGCCTAAATCTAAGCATTAATTCAACCAACCAGTTTTGGTTTCCATTTACACCAATGTAAACTTGAAACAATTTCACTGATGGTAGTAGAATTACTCCAGACTTACTGTGATATAAATTTTACCATTTTTTAATTGGTGAATGCCTTTGAAGCTCTACAATAAGTTACTTTGGATGTAAACTACCAAACCCACATATATTCAGTATAATCTTCTTCACAGTTCTTTTATTTGTTAAGCATCAGTAGTATGCTCAGAGCTATTCAAAGCACAGACACAGATGGTCTCTGCTCTAGGGAATTTACAGTCTGCCATCAGAAAAACAGAATTCTTGGATGACTCAAAAGATGATTCTAACATCACAAGGTTCCTGTTTCTCAGATGCTGTGGTTTTACATAAAAATAAATGTGATTTTATTGAAGTAATTTGCAGCTGGCTGGCTTTGTGGAAAATAGGGTCTTTAGAAGACTGTTGTACAAAAGAAGAGAATGGTCTGCTTAAGCATCCTAATGAAAAGGAGATAAAGGAATAAGATACAACATGAGAGAAAATACCAGAAAGTCTGTCTTTTTTGACACTATTCCTTGATCTTTAAAAACAGCTTTAAGAGACTTTCAGGTTATGAACCAGACTGTCTCACAGTACAGATCAGCATAATTCAGTTGTGCAGGTTAGCTGACATGGGCTGTCTTGTGGGCTCCACTTTAAGTTCAATATTTTGGATCTTCTGTCCTTCATAAATCCACAGCTGTGTACACTGGGACACAAGAGTGGGCCAAACACTGCAGCTGACATATATTGCTCTGTTTTCTTTTTAGTCTACTTGCCGTCAGATCACTAAATGACCAGCTCATGCTTCTAGAAAGGGCTTTCATCGATCCTCTTGGATTACCTGGCAGGCCATTCTATAGGTAAGAAAGGCTTATTTTTCACTCTCTGCCTGGAGTACCCTATGAGAATTCCTTTAAGATTTAGAGGTCCCTAAATGGAATTGTAATGATTTTATTCAACATAGTAAAAGTAGATTAAACAGGACAAATAAGATTGAAAAGGGAAAACAACATTAGGGAAAACTTCAGTGAGATAGATACACTATACAGAATGAGGAAAAGTCATTGTTGGAAGCCTATTCAGAGCAGTAAACCCATTTCTATGGATTTCTGTGTTTTCTAAAGAGAACTAAAAGTTTGGCCCTGGACTCAGTTCAAGTAATTTCAGTGGTAAAGGATCTTTAGGAAGTTGTTATGATTTGAAAGTGAAATAGGGTATAACTGAAGTAGCTACAATGTGATCGATTATAGCAGAACAGTCATGCTAGCAAATACAGTGTAAAGGGCAGTCCTTCAACAGCAGTGAAGTGAATTCAGTAGTTCTATCATCTGGTTCAAGAAGTAAATCTTGTTTGAAAGGCAGAATAGTCAAGTCTAGCTTTTTGGTCCTCCTACCAGTCTGCATAATTCAGAACAGTAATCTTTCCCCTAAAAAGTAACTGTAGAAAGAGAACTTAAGATCTATAATCATTGTACCTCTCATAGCTTCTGATTAAAAATTTGTTGAGAACAGTCTCTTGTGAAAACATTGGGTTTTCTACCTTAAAGCATGCCTTTATCTGTTAGAGATTGTGTATATCTGTGAGAAAAGAAGCTGGCTTTTTTAAATTTTTCCATTTCATCTAAAATGAGGGAAAGGAAGATACTTTAGTCAACTGTATCTCAAATCTTCTTGAGATAAAGACGACAAAGTTCTAGAATTAGCAAGGACTAACATAGCTTATTTAATTTTCTTGCTTCATAGATTATAGGTGCTATTTCTGCAATAATCTTATTTATTTACATCTTCAGTGTCAAGAATTTAACATGATATAGAAACAGATTAGTTTTATTCAGAAAATAATATATTTTATTTTCCTAATGCAGAATATTGTTGGGGTTTTTTTCCCTCTACTTCCCTACAGACATGTTATCTTTGCTCCAAGCAGCCATAACAAATATGCAGGAGAATCATTCCCGGGGATCTATGATGCCATGTTTGACATTAAAAACAAAGCTGATCAACATGAAGCCTGGAAAGAAGTTAAGAGGCAGATTTCCATTGCAGCCTTCACTGTACAGGCTGCAGCAGAAACACTGAAAGAAGTAGCATAAATATCAACAACATAATCATCAACGACTATGTTTGACAATTTCCAGAAGCCTCAAAACCAGAACATTTAAAAACACTAGAAGGATTATTACGAAGAACACAAAATCAAAAAAATATTGTTCTTTGCAAATCATATACCCAAGTGGAATGCATTTAACAGCGTTAACAAGGTAATATAGTCCATTCGGAGAGCTCGGGCTTTAGATATCTTCTGAAGTGAGATGATTGAAAAAGCTTCATATTTTCTCTCAGCTTCATACTTTTAAGAATCGCTAACCACTCGATTTATTTCCAGAGTTTTGAGTTTTTCCTAGATTGATTATTATAGCAGTCCTCAAGTGCATTGGAAAAGAGAAGTTTCTTGTTTCTATTAGTTTCTAATTTTGTTGTTGACTTTTTATTATTTACCTTCGAGTTGCATAATTATACTCCAAGATAGCACTTTCCACTCTCCTTTTACACAAAGATTCATGTATGAAGATGGGAAAACTGTCAGATACCGTGTGAGGGATGTATAATGATCATAACAAGTTTTGGGCAGCCAGCCCAGAATACTCATCTATGACGTTCTTCTCTTCACATGCTGAGACTTGCAGCTGTTTGCAAATAAAATTAAGCAAGAAGCTTTCTTGCTTAAGTAAAAACAAGGCAATACATATTGTCAGACGTATAATCATCTGACAAAACATGTCTTTTGAGATGAAGACCTACTTTTATTCTTTTATCCAAAGTCTACCCCTGCTCTGCCTTGTCCATATCAAGGTATTTTTAATATGAAGACAATTAGAAGCAAAGAAAATTCATCATGTCCTAAGTTTGAAAGGATACTAAATTATTACCATCTTTGTAGAGTCTGCATTTCTGATTTTGGTGTGCAGCTTACTCTTACGACCGTCTGCTCAAAAGACTACAGTGGGACAACCGAGATCAGGCAGAGAAAACTCAGAAAATCAAATCCCTAGAGAATTACTAACCTCTTGCCCAGCAATATTTTGTGTAATTTGATCTGCCATTTCAACTGAGGCCTCCACCATGTCTTAGAAGACTGTCCCATGATCTGATGCATTTCAGTGTCATGGTAGATTTTTTTCTTTTCCATAAGACCTCATTTATTCATAAATATTTCTCCTCTTCACATTAAAACCCTTTTGGCAAGTTACTATAATTAAGTCATTATTTTACCTAACTGTTGGTCTTTCTCATAAAGTAATCCAGTTTACCAGATAAGGGGAAATGCTCTTACACCTACAGCTATTGCTCAGTTATTTTCACATTTTTATGAAAGCGATTGGTGTAGAACCATGGAGACATGCCTTCCCCCAAATCTAGTTGTGCTGTTGGGAGACATTGGTGTCTGTTACTGTTTTATCGCTGCTGCCTGCTCCACTGCTCCTTTTGCCAGTGGAGAATTCAGTATGATGGTCTATATTCCACCTTTGGCAAAATTAGCTAGGTTAGTTTAGATCATCAGTTAGGTTAACCTAGAAGGTTTTGTCTGTAGCAATCAAGGGAATGATAACACAAATACACCATGCAGAGGGGGACAGCGATAAACAGCTTCTGTGACCACATGGATTACAAAAAGAGTATTTTTTTATTGCTAAGGAGGGTGAACTGAAGCACCAAACTCCAA